AGGCGCTGTTCTTTAAAAAAATTTAAAGCTTTAAAATTTAAAATAAATAAATTCACCAATTTTGATAATACACGATCAAAACGCTTCAGAAAAAACGCAAAATATTTTGGCCCAAGATTTCTCATATTTCAATTAAACGCCAGAGATATATAAAAATTAACAAATTTTGAACATAAATAGTAATCACATGGAAAAATTAAGTCTTCATACCGAGAAAGTTTTAATTTTACCTCTCCTTTTTTATAATTAGTAAATTCAAGTACATATATTGATATTTGGATGAAGAATTACATTTGAATAAAGACGTTTTTATTTAGGAATTTATTAAACAATGAATCATTATTTTAAGTAAATACTGAACTGAGTGGGAATAGTCGTGATAATAGAAAAAAAATAAGCGCTTTTTCACCTGATTTCAGCAACAAACTGACCTGGAGAGACATTCAACATCTCACAGTGCTAACTTCCAAGCGCAACTCTCTGTTCGATGCCAAAGGCCGCTTTCATTGGACTATGAATGGAGTTGGTTTGGAATTCAATCACTTATTTGGATTCGGAGTTTTGGATGCTGGTGCCATGGTCGCTTTGGCCAAGCAATGGAAAAGCGTACCTCCCAGGTACCATTGCGAAGCTGGTACGGTTTCGGAGACGAGGTAAGACAGAATCATACTAAATTGTTAATTCATACCTTTTAAAAGTAATATTAAATGTAACAAACCTGCTAATAACATTATGCAACAAGAACGGATGGTAGATCAATTCGCAGCAAAGCAAGTCATTTTTTTTGTCTTTGTTAAACTCAATTTAGGCAATTTGGATGCGCTAATGGGAGTTACGTGCGATTTATCGAATTCAAGGCACGTTCTATCTACAGATGTAAAACAGATGTAGATAACTGTGTTCTGAATGCTCTTATAAAACTTTATAAAATTCGAGCTTCCGCCCCCATTGGGTTTTTCAATTCCCTAAGTCAACTATTTGCAAGCAATATTATCCTACATATTTTCTTACTTGATTTTAGAGCCTTTTTTATAGAATCCACTATTTTCCATTGTATCTTGCCTTAATGGGCTGCATTTTTTATATTGAGATTTTTTATGTTTCCTCTGCATCACTGCTCAGTGAAAAGTTTTATTTTTTGGTCTTGGATCAAATTTTTTCTTCTTGCAGTGATAACTTTTCTTCTGCTCTTGGTACGATTTTCACTGTCTAGGGCTCAGGTTGCATGAAAACCGAGTCAAAATTGCGTCCCGAAATCTGTGATGATGGCGGACTATTCAACTAACGTGAAGTTCACATTCAAATATGTCGTTCATTCATGCATTCCGCTATATTGACTTTTTCTTAATCCGACTATGGAGTGCTAACACTTCGCTTCATTACGAGCCCTACATTTTGAACATCGGATAAAGTGATTAAAAATTATCACTGACAGTTAATTGTTTTGAGACCATTCTGTAAATAAATGAAGTTGTCGAAAAATTAATAAACATTTTCAAAAGATATGAGGTTTTTCGAAGGAGAAAAAGCTTTTTTTGATCTCCGCTCATGTGGAAATTTAACAATTTTACACTGTTTCATTAGCCACCTCGTAAAAAAATTATCTAAAGCACTACTGACCGAAAATGAATTGGACTAAACAACGCTTTAAACGAAAAACAAGTCGCTCTCAGCAGTCAGAATTTATCCAGTTCAAAAATTAGTCGAAATTTGCTCGTGTAGCGTCTATTTTCTTGACTAGTTTATTTACATTATATATGGGTTCTTAATGAAAAAAACCTCGAAACTTTTGCCTCCTGAGAAAATCTTGAAGATGCTGCGGTCTTGATAATGGCCGAAGATGTCTTTAAAGGAAACGCCTCCTTGTTCTCAACCGGATTGGTCGAATATTTTCTTCTAAATTATAGTACTGAAAACCCTCAGTCAAAATTCAGATCTTTTGAGAAATTCAGTTATTTTTACATATGCAATATATTTTCTCAAATTAAAGTTATAAATACATCCGAATGAATAATTTTTACAAATAACTTTTTCTTCTATTAGGCAGACAATATTTCAGACGTCAATATATTTTTTGAATTTTTAACTTTAATTCAACATTAGGCGTTCAAAACATTGGAGAAAAAAAATAATATGTTCAATTCGAAAGTGGGTTGTAACTCATATTAGCCAAAATTTATGGTCGTTTTACATAAACAATAGCGTAATAAAGCAAAGATAATCTAAACAATATTTTTTGTTTCAAAATTGCCTCAAAAAATTTCAATGTTCACCTGTCGAAACAATATACTTCTCTAAAAACAGTTTATTGTGATATTATAGTTAAATTGGTGATTAAGACAAAAAATAAATGATGCCAAATGAAAAAAGCAAAAAAACGAAATAAACTAATGAGGAAGATCGAATATCGCAAAATCTCACGTTCTTAAGTAACTGGTTTTGGTTTAAATTTAATTTATTCCAGGAAAATTCCTTCACAAGGATCGATGGTTTTAATGATCGACACCAACTCCTGCAAAGAAGACAACACCGAAGTGAGATATCTGGAACACGTTCAGGCGGTAATATCATTGAATGCAACTAGAAGGGGCGATGTTGAGTTATTCCTGACTTCTCCCATGGGAACAAGGTATAAAAAAACAAATTTTTCTGTTAGAACCCTTTAAAATATTCCGTTTTTCAGATCGATGATTCTTAGCCGAAGGCGGAACGATGACGATAGCAGAGACGGTTTCTCCAAATGGCCATTTATGACGACACACACTTGGGGAGAGTATCCGCAGGGAATATGGAAGTTGGAAGTGAGTTAATGGAATAAATTAAATTAGTAGCTTGACATGAAAAATTCGTTTGAACTTATTCACCTCTAAATAAGGACTGTCCTTTAGGGAAACTAAAACATTTTTTAATAGAGTTAGAAGTACTGACTCCAAGTTAAGCAAATAAATTAAGCCAATATATAGTTTAGGCAAATGGCACTAAAATACGAATGATAAAAGTATTTTTGTTACAGGTAAGATTTAACTCAGAATCGCCCCAAAGTGGCTTTTTCAAGGAATGGTCCCTAATGTTGCACGGAACCAAAGATCCGCCCTACACTGAACTCCCAGTGCTGGATCCCCATTCCAAACTGGCGATTGTAAAAAAAGCCCACGAGGTAAGAAGCCAGATGTAAAGAAGCACAAAGGAAAAACCAAAGAAAACTCCAAGATGAAAAATAATAAACCTATAACGAACATGCGGATCAAATGTTTATAGAGATTTTAATTTTTGTTACACAATATATTTGTTGAAGGAGTAAACTAAACTACTTCTCAAAGTCATCCTGCAGTTTTATTCAGTCTACTGCTGTTTTTTAGGGTACACACCAAACCATTATTAACATACAGTCAGGATAAATAAAGATTATTTTACCGAAAACATTTTGAGAAAATCACTAAATAGATTGAATCAAAAGCTATTATTATTGTATATTATATTCAAATACAGTTGAGTACATGTTCTAACGTTATCAATTATTGACATCGCATACCAAGACTCATACAAAAACACCAATTTAAACCCTTTCATAAGTAGAGCAATAAAAGGAAAATTAAAACTGATTAAAGTATGTTAACATACAACATAACATACAGATAAATCTCCACTATTTATGCATTACAAATATAATGATTCAATGTATTTGGTCAATTTCCTTATTTTCCATTAACGCAGGCAATTCACTAAAAGTTCAAATAAATACTAATTTAATATAATTTTCATCCAACCCAGACATTTCGCACTAAAACATGTAGCTTAAAAAAAGTTTATCAAAAAGATCCAACATATCTACTCAGAAAAAACCTATCCAAATAACACCTGTAGTCCAGTATTTCTTAGTTATTATTTTAAGATTTATTTTAAGACCTCTTATATGCATAAAAAGCTTGTGATTATAGGAATGTGAAGCACAATTGATAATAAAATTAATCGAATAAAAATATTTTACGAAGATGTTTGCGTGATTTTAATACTGTTAAGAACTAATAGCAGAATAGTACAATTAACGTTAGTAAAACGTTTGAAATGTACCTAAATTAAATGAGAGTATTTTGAAATACTTACATTGATCTTGTGCTTTGGAAAAGCATTAGAAGCGAATATAATCAATTATAAAACTGTCAAATAACTTCAAAGTTAAATTATATTTATTAATCAAACATTCTGTTTAAAAAATCCTAAAACACGAATTAATCTGCGTAAACGTTTTAATATTAATTGTGCTGTACCTGAAAATAGAAAGTAATTTTCCTAAGATATTGTTTTACTCTTAGAAATTATATTTTCTTAGAGACAAGGTCTAGAGTTATGATCTTGTCGGCATTTAGAAGAACAAATAGAATTAGAAAAAAATTTAAAGTTAACATTGTATATCATAGATAATATATTTACCTGTAAAGTATGGCATTTCAACTATTGTTGTATACCACCATCATATACTAAAAAATGATTTATGCTTTTTTCGCTATTTAATTTGTCATTTTGAAAATTGGTATTTACTTTTTATGCTTTGATTGCACTGCATTAGCGAAAAATTCCATAAATCTATTAATAACATTGAAGTCAATAACGTATACAGATTCCTTCATGTTCAACTTTGATATGTTATGTATGCCTTGCATGTTTCGTTAATTCAGAGATTTAAAAGAATGTAGGTATGTAATGTATTGCAAAAGTATGTCTAAATCAAAGACGCGAAAGGTCAAACATTGAGATATTCTCTGCGAATTTAATATAATTTTCTAATTAAGTGCGGCAAATGTACCCGCC